GGAGAGAATTAAGCTCTACATCTTGAAGGAAGGCATATAAAATAATTTGTGAAGACATTTTTAAACCCCCAACAACCACCTTCCAAAGCTCTAGCCCTTTCCATCATTCTAGGCTCCATCCTCACCTTTGGGTAATTTTACGATTTACTGGATGAAGCAGCCTTATAAACAAATAGCGATAAAACAAAGCAGATTATAATTGTGTACTATTGTAGAGGTACAAAAAGTTCTGGAAAGGAGGTTAAATCCAACTGGAATAATCCAAGGGAAGTTCATGAAGGAAGTGGCATTTGACATGAGAAAATGAGAGGACTTTGAGGGTCTAAGATTAGAAGCAAGAAGGAGGGACTGGCCAGGTGATGGGGCAAGGTGGACGTTGGTATGGAGGCAGGAGAAAGCATATGTCGGGGCTGGGGAACTGAGGACAAAATAGTGTCACTGAAAACAGTGAAAATAAAGTTGTGGAAGTTTAAAGAGGAGAATAGCGTGGGAAGCCTCACATGTAAGGACCAGGACATTAGAAATCCAGGAAAGGTTTCTGAATGGGAGACTGGCATGATTAGCCCTATGCTTTAGAAAGAACAGCCTAGTGATCCTGTGAAGATTGAGTCAGAGGGAGACAGGCATTTAATGTATTAAATTATCTTAATAAATTAACCACAGGCATTTGGCAGTAAGAAGGCCCAATGGGAAGCCATCCTAATTGGTTGAACAAGTGCTCTGTTCACTCCACGGGGCAGCTCAGAGGCGCTCCACTGTGGCTGCACATTGGAGTCACCTGGGTGCTTCCAAAACACACCAATGCTCAGTCTCCCTACCAGGGTTCTAATTTAACTGTGCAGAGGTGGGTTTAGGCACCCCGGCTGATTCTCATTTGCAGCCCAGTTTGAGAACAGCGTGACTGAGAAAGGGAAGTCAGGCTGATGTCTTCTCAGCTCCAGGCAAATTTGTGGATTACTACTCACTCTTGCCTCATTTTCTGAATTTCTCTTCTACCTTCTTCCTTGGGTCTTTGTCCTTTACTTCTGTGTATTTTTATGACTTTTAGGTTTCCCATGGTAGCACCGCTATTTTGTCTGACTATTCTAACCCCAAACGTGTTTCAAGGTCTCACTAAAATGGAAGGAATCTGATCAGACTGATTCACAGTAAGATATAAATGACTGATGACCCAAAACCCCACCTAAGGGTGTTTGATTTAAATTTTTTTTTCAACCTTAAAAAAAGAATAATTTCACACTTATGGAAAAGTTACAAAAGAGATTTTCTAGATACTCTCTTCTAAAATATATCAGTGTTATTCTCTCTTCACATATACACACTCATATGTACACACGCATATTTATTATTCGGAACCATTCAGAACTAAGTTGCAAGCATATCCCCAAATACTTCAGTGTGCATCTCTGCTGTTGTTTGAATGTGCCTCCCACCCCCCAATTCATATGTTGAAATTTAGTTGCCGTTGTGATGGTATTAAGAGGGTAGGAAATCCAATTAAAATTCATATGTTGATTGGAAGTGGAGTCTAGGTAATTAGGATTAGATAAAGTCATCAGGGCTGGGCCCCCTTGATGGGACTGGTAGCTTTATAAAGACAGGAAGACAGACTTGTGCTGACACGCATGTACTTGCCTCCATGCCATGTGATGCCCCGCACCACTTCCGGACTCTGCAGAGAGTCCCCACCAGCAAGAAGGCCCTCACCACATGTGGTCCCTACACCTTGAAATTCCCAACCTCCAGGACTATGAGAAATACATTTCTTTTCTTTATGAATTACCCAGTCTCTGGCATTCAGTAACAGCAACTGAAAATGGACTGAGACAATCTCCTAAGATCAAGAACACTCTCTTACATAGCCTCAATACACTTGGCCAAAATCAGTACCTTAATGTTTACACAACACACTTCTCTAATCTACAGCCTCCACTCAACTTTTGCTGATTATCCAGATAATATATTTTATAGAAATACAACGAGAAGGCTGGGCTCAGTGGTTCACGCCTGTAATCCCAGCACTTTGGGAGGCTGAGGTGGGGGGGATCACCTGAGGCCAGGAGTTCGAGACCAGCCTAGCCAACATGGTGAAACCCCTGTATACTAAAAATACAAAAATTAGCCAGGCATGGTGGTGCATGCCTGTAGTCCCAGCTACTTGGGAAATTGAGGCAGGAGAATCACTGGAACCTTGGAGGTGGAGGTGGCAGTGAGCTAAATTCACACCACTGCACTCCAGCCTGGGTGACAGAGCAAGACTCTGTCTCTCTATAGAGAAAAGAAAGAAAGAAAGAAATAACAACAACAATGCCATCTTTTCTTTACCCCCTTTCCTTTCTGGTTTGGGATGCAATACACAACCACACACTGCATTCACTTGTTATGTCTCCTGTCTTGGTCCTGAGACTGGGCTCTTCACATATATCTGGCAGGAAAGCCACGGAAGCAGTGCCATGTCCTCGGTGCATCCTATCGGGTGGCACACACTGCCCACTTGACCCAAGCGGTGCTGTTAGCTTCTGTCACTAGGTGAAGATGGTTTTTGCCAGGTTTCTCCTAAAGTTAATAAATATTTTGTCAGTAATTAGTAAGAATTGTACAGGGATACACTGTGAGGCCATATAAATATTCTGACCCTCATTAAACTTTCACTCATTTGTTCCAGCATCCATTGATGATTTTTAGCTGAATCCATGATTACTACGATGGTGACCAAATGGTGATTTTCTAACCTTATTATTTTTTTCTACACCTATTAGATGGATTTCTACTATAAAAGAGAACTTTCCCTTCTCCTCAGCTTATTTACTTATTTATATAAACATAGACTCATGAATTGCTGTTCTATTCAATAGGTTGTAATAAATCAGTAACATTTTTTATTTTGATGCCCAAATTGATACACGTTTGACCACAGACAATCCCTTCAAGCTGGCTCGGATTTTTGACTTTTAAAAGAGGCCAATTTTTTATTCAAATATGTCTCCACATAGTAGGAGTAAGGTCTTGGGAGAAAATGAAGTGGAAAGTTTCGGCAGCGCGCCTGGTGATGGTGAGCAAAGTGGCCTTTACCATGTCAGCGCTCCCTCAACTGTTCCAGCCTCTCGCAGCTTCTTCCTCCTTCCCTGTCCTAAAATGGAATTAAATGCTGGATCTTGGAGGCACCTTAGAGATTATCAGTTCCCCGATTCCCAAACACTGATTGCCAAGGGCTGTGTGACTGCAACCCCTGGAGAGGTAGTTTCTCAGAATAGGTGCCCCTACCTTCACCCCAAAGATTCGGATTCAAAAGCCCGACCTGGTGGGATGAACCCTTTTTGTGTATATGGAGCCACCCAGATGACTCCCATGCTTAGCCAACACCCACCCTACTCCCATAGACACACACACCCTGCTTTCTTTTGCAGGTGAGAAACCAGTGACTCAGAGAGGGGAATCCGCGTGCTCAGGTCATGCTGTGAATGCCAGAACTGGAAGTTTCTTGCTCCATTAACACTGGTTTTTTGCCTGCATTGTGCTATCTCATTACAGTTCTTTGAAAGCTCTGAAATTTTTGGTTGCTAACAATTGTTCTTACAGCAGTAAGAATGAGGAATTTACTTGTAGGATGGACAATGTTTAAGTCAGGTGTTTGTAAACCAGGGGCTGTCTCTGCTCATTTACTTGATTCTTATGTGCAATGTAGTTGGTTTATTTTATGCTGATCCCCAGAGTTTCATCATTTAAACTGAAAAGAATACTACTACTTTATATGGCCGTTATGAGCATTAACTTTAGAGATACTGTAAGCCTGGCACTTTTGCTAACTAAATATGCATTTACCACCCCCCCACCCCAAATATGCACACACACACACACACATATATGCACTCCCCTAATTTCACTTAAGGAAGCACTTTCTGTTACCATTTATCTCTCTCTTACCTCCTGGCCCCTCACTGACAATAACAGCAGTATGTCCTTTTGCCATTGAGAAAGACAGCTGTAAGATAAACAGACACCATTGCATTGTACATACTGAGACCATTGTCTCAGACCATTGTCAGTACATACTGAGACCTATGGTCCCGCTGAGACCATTCTGCACTGTAGCCACCACCCCATCCCCTGGGCTACAGGAATCTGACTATTAAACAAAACTAACCTTTAAACATGTAAACTGTATCCACCCAATAACAATTCAGCCAAAATTCCTTACAAATCCAGACACGACCCAATATGTTAAAGGCTTTGTGGCACTACAGTGAAGGAAGGGAACATCTTTTCGACATGTTTATAAACACAAATAACAGTGCAGGGTGCTCAAGATCTCAAGTAATCCACTGCTGACTTTTTTCATTAGGTGGTCCTTTGTTGAGCTTCAGCTCCCTTCCAATACCTTCCATTCATTTTCTTCATCAAGGACATCTGCAGTGCACGGCAGCATCAGAGGGCAGGTCTCCCGAGCTGCCAGCAGGATTCCATTTCTCCACTTCCACTGCCATCTGACTGCTGATGCCCAGGCCTCCAGAGGAGGAAGGGCTATCCTAATATTATGAGAACAAATGAAGCTAAGAAGTGGTTTGAGTTGGGAACTGCCAGGCCCTAGAGACAGAGAGAATGGTTAATAAATCTGTATTGTACTGAATTAAATAGAGCATCTTAAGCTACCTACTGGGGATGGAACAATGCAGAGACTCCTGTGTTTTTTAGTAACATTAGCAAAAGAGCTTAGCATCACTGATAATTAAAATCACATCCACGTTTGGCTTCGGAATGCATAAGGCATCACAATAACTCAGCACTGAAGGGGCTTGTGGTTTTAAAATAAATCCACACATTCTTTGCAGTGTGCTCCCTTCAATGCAGCCTCATTCCTCTCCTTTTACATGTGGGTTATTCTGAGTGACTCACTTATCAGTAGAATGTAGTGAAAATGGTGGAATATGACTTTCAACGATATGTTGTTAAAGACACTGAGCTTCTGTCTTGCTCTCTCTTTTGGATCATGTGCTCTTCAGGGAGCCAGCTGCCATGTCATGCAGACACTCAAGCAGCCCTATGGAGAAGCCACAAGGTGAGGGGCTGAGGCCTCTTTCCCACAGCCATGTGAGTGGGCCATTCCGGAAGCAGATCCTCCAGCCCCAGCCAAGCTGACAGACGACTGCAGCCCCAGCCAACATCTAACCTGGAGCCTCTTGAGAGACCAACCCAGAGACCCCACCCAGCTAAGCCACTCCAGAATCCCTGACCCCAAACATTGTGACATGATAAAAATGTGTTGTTTAAGCTACTAAATTGTGTGGTATTCTGTTAGGTAGCAATAGATAATTAACACAGCGCTCTTAATCTTTTCCATAGCAACCGTGACAAAAGGTAGTGTGGGTTCAGCTTGCACCTCCCATGACAGAGAGCGTGCTTCTTCGCAGGACAGCCCCTTCTGTTGCTTGACTGGTCTGTTACCAGTGCTGCTCACTGAGCTGGTTTTGGCCTCTCTGTAACTTCCATCCCTGGTTCAAGATGTGCCTCATAAAGCAAAGGTGAAGCTTCTCCTCTTTTATGTGACTGCCCTTCAGACAGCTGCAACTCGTGATTATGCTGGCCTCCTGTGTGCTCTTGTGCTGGCTAAAGAGAGAAGAAGGGGAGGCAGCACCTTTTGAGGGGCACAGGAAAAGAGACATAGTCTGTGTATAGGAAAAAAAAAACTGCTTTATGCTCTCTTTGGTACTCTCACAACAGTTTTGGTCACCAAAATATGTGGGGTTTTCCCCCACACCAAGCAATTCTCTAATTCTCTGTTGATTTAATTGTAATTGAATTACAATTTAATTCAATTCTGACAGTAGCCAGAGTTAGTGCAGACCACACAGGTTAAGATCGGGTGGCACACACTGCCCACAAGACCGCTTCTCACTTCAGACACCAATCACGAATACTAGGTCCCCAGGTTACCCGCAACTTCTCTCTGACCTGGCTACACGGAAGGTTCTTGCAGCTGCCTCATTGGGTTTAATCATTGCTAGAATGGCTCACAGAACTCAAGGAAACACTCTACTGACTTGGAAGATGTTCTCCCCGCCTTCACTGTAGGGCCACAAAACCTTTACAATTTTGGAGGGATTCTAGATGTGTAAAGCAGCGCGGCTGAATTGTTGCTGGGTGGAAACTCCACTCATTACAAAGTATACGACTCAGGAAGAGTCAAATGGAAGAGATGCAAAGAGAAAGGTGTGGGGAAGGGGTCCGCTTCCGTGCCCTCTCCGGGTGTGGACCCTCCCAGAACCTCCACAAGCTCAACAACCTGGAAGCTCTCTGAACCCAGTCCTTTTGGGGTTTTATGGAGGCTTATTGTTTACATCAATAGCTATTAGTTATTAACTCAACCTTCAGCCCCCTTTCCCCTCCCTGGGGGTTGGTTGCGGAAGCAGTGGGGCAGGGGAGGGAGTAGTGGGACTGGAAGTTCCAACTCTCTAACCACATGGTGAGTTCCCCTGTCAACCAGTCCTCACCCCAAGGCTGTCCAGGAGCCTCCAGCCCTTGGTCATCTCACTCTCACACAGAGCGACACTTACCACTTATCACAAGGGGTTTATGAGCTATGTGCCAGAAAACGGGGAGGGGTGGAAACAGGACAAATATATATTTTTTATTATATCCCAATGTCATAGCCTGGAATTAGGCCACAGTCCTTCAAGCACCAGTCCAAGAGAGGCTGGATTCTGGGAGATTTTGAGAAATGGATAGCAGCACTCCTAAGCCACTAGATAACAATCATAGCAGTAACAGTAATAATTAGTGCTGACGTAGCACTTAAACAGGCTACCAGATCCTCTTCCATGTATTTTGTATGTGCTGTCATTTAATCCCCACAAAAGCTCAGAATTATTGCCCCTTTTCACAGAGGAGGAAACTATAGTGCCAATAGGTTATAACTTGCCCAAGGCCACATAGCCGGTAAGCAACAGAGCAGGATTTAAAGTGAGGCAGCCCAGCTTCAGAATACTCCTCCCTAAAATTCAGTAGTCCCTTCCCTTCTGGATCTAGTTCATCTTAGAGCTGCATTGAAAGCTGTTATAGAAACAAAAATTGCAACCATTTATTGAGCATCTGCTATTTCTCAGTACCTGGGCTGAGTGCTTCGTACACACTAGAAAAATTAAGGTTCACGGTCAATGGAACAAATCATTTAACACTTATTTATCAAGCACAGACACTTTGCTGATCCCACTGGGGACACAGTGGTGACTCAGGCTTGGGTCCTGCCCTTACAAATTTTTCAGTTCCAAAGCAATAAATTATGTACAAAAATAGCTATAGTTTGAGGCATAGAGCAAGAGTTGCCCTTTTGGAGAGGAGTAGATAGAGCAATGTTATGTCCTAAATGATCATGTTCTCCCAAAATTCATGTTAAAATCCTAGCTCCCAAGGTGATGGGATTAAGAGGTTAGATCTTTCAGGGGGTAATTAGGTCATGAGACTGGAGGGCTCCTGAATAGGATTAGTGCCCTTATAAAGAGCCTTATAAAGAGACCCAAGGGAGCCCATTTGCCCAGTTCACCATGTGAGAATGCAGCAAAAAAAAAGAGATGCCATCTATGAACGAGAAAGTGGGTCTCACCAGACTCTAAATTTGCTGGTGCCTTGATCTTTGATGCCCTAGCCTCCAGAACTGTGAAAAATAAATTTCTGCTATTTGTATGCCACTCAGTCTATGGTATTTCGTGACAGCAGCCTAAAAGGACTAAGACAAGCATGACACATGGAGAGAGCTGGGGCTATAGGGGTGTTACCTGAGTAGGCTTTATCTGAACTGGTTCTTGAAGGAGGATATGGTTGGGGAAGGTAGAGGTGGGAGAAGGGCACTCTAGGAAAAGAAACAGGACAGGAGTTAAGATGAGAAGAACGAGGCTTCACTCTAACCAAAGACAGAATGATGGGATAGAAAGATGGAAACACCACACTGGGGTGGTTTTTGTTGAATCCTGTGCCTAACATGTGATTTTAGAGAAACCCATGGTCTTGAGGCTGCTGTGGATTTGTGATTTCAGCAAATCTATCCCAGGCTGGAAAAGCAGAGGCCCTGTGAGGCCTTCATCTGGAGCAAATGAAAACTGTCAGACCCTCAGAGCCCCCAGGACACTCATTTATTATGGTGAGAAATATTGATATTAATAAACCCTTCTGCCTGATACAATTTCTTGTCATCACCCTCTTCTCCCACCCCCTGCTGCCACCACCACCAGTTTCCATTTGGAGAATCAAACTGGCCGCAGAGCATCTCACTTCTTGCAGACCTGTTGGATACACATTCATAAATACTCACGGCAATCCTTTTATGTCTAATGAATGGGAGGTGAGGGGTAGAGGTCCTGACTGCCCAGTGGGAGATTTGCAAGCTGTTTTGCTGGGATTTCCTCTCCCCTGTGGGAAAGAGGGAAAGACATGACTCTACCAGCTTCTTGCATGTGATGTGCCTGCATGCACTGGGGGCAAAGTCGTGACTCTGATCCCCAGGTCGGGGGGGTGGGGCATGTTTTTGGGAACTTGTGCTTTCTGAGATCTCAGGGAAGAGGCAAATTCTGATTTTTTGAGGCCTGAAAGTTGTACAATTTGGGGACCTTTTATAAGAAAAAGAATATCAAATTATCAATACAAAGTGAGGCTTGCAAAATTTTTTTTAGAGTCGAGGTCTTGCTCTGTCACCCAGAGTGGACTGCAATGGTGTTATCATGGCTTTCTGCAACCTTGAGTTCCTGGACCCAAGCAATCCTCCCGCCTCAGCCTCCCAAGTAGCTGGGACTAGCAGGTGCGCTTCACCATACCTAGCTCAAAGTGAGATTTGAAAGTCACTATTTATTTAGAATGATTAAAGAAATCACAACAAATTTTAAACCTTAAAAATGCTGATAAATACCATGAATATCACAAAATTCAGAAAAATGTTTTATTAACTGCCACCTGATACAATGCCTGAAAAAGGTGTATTACAGCCATATAAGTAAAATATTTAGGGATCCAGTGGTTTTGGACATGCAGCGACATCCCCTGAAAATAAATGACAAGTTATTGCATCTCACCTCTTACCATTAAGAAAGAAGCCCCATGCCTGGGAGGCCTCTTCAGGTTCTAGAGGCAGTACTTAGTGATATTGCTCTGACCCATTTACCAGGTAACATGGAAGGCTGTCAGCTCTGAGTCACAGCAGGTATAAGATGCAATGCCGTATTGCTTGGGCCAAATGATTGAGCAGACCCTATTGATATTAGTTATCTGTGGTGGAAGAATTCACCATGTGAAGCTGGTGGCAAGCTCCAATAAGAGAATCATAATGTAGACCCCAGAGTCCTGGAGCAAGGCCATGCCATCTGCAGAGGAGACCTTAACACTACTTGAAAACAGCTCCCGGCATGCCACTTCCCTAATAGAGACGGAGCATCTGACAAGTGACCATGTGGCCAAAGCTACCCAGCACGAGCTAAGTAGTGTCTAACCTTCCAAGCCATAAAGTTGGCAAGCCTAACAGCAATCGTGATAACGGAAACAGTACATCTGGGATTAGCTGTGAGCAGGCCGGAGGGTGAATGTAAGCTGTGCTAATAGATGGCCCAGACCCCATGGCTCTATCACTGCTGTATCAATGTCTCTCCCTTAGACAAAACTTGTGGCCACATGAAGTGTGCCTTACAGCCAAGCTGATGGAGGGAAAAAAGGGCTGAGATTGGTTCAAGGAAGTATAAGCTTGGTTTGGGGGTGCTAGCCAAAACTGGACTGCTGTGGCACTGTAGTCCCATTCAGGGTGGTCCCAAAAAACAATGGTAAAGAGGAATCCTCTCATTAGACTGAACACACGGTCATTCACTTTGTGTGGGAAGAGAAATGGCCTGAAGCAGGAATATATAACTCAAGGCTATGAAAAATGACTAGGCCGGTTGGCCAGGGGCCTGAAAAGGGAAAGAATGTAAGACTGAGGACTGGGACAGAGCATGTAGTTGGACCTACGGGAGCAGGCATATGGAGTCAAGACCTTTGCAATGCATGTTAGTGCCCACTAGGGAGCACCTACCGTGGAAGAGGTACTTCACTCTGTGAAGATAGGGTTCCTTCCTTTAGGATGTGGTTAACACCCTAAATCAAAGACTTTTATATGAGTTGGTATTCCCAGTAGGAAGAATACATGGGCCCAGGAACCAAGGAGTAAGGTTGGGAAAGGTCCTGCATACCAGCATTCCCAGGGTCACACTTGGCAATTAATGCTTGTCATTGCTGCAACATTAGGCTCTGTGGGTCCAAAGG